ATCCAGCTTCTACAGGGAGGAAACATGTTGGAGTCAACAGCACTGGGAGAAGCCAGAACCCTTGGCTCAGACCACCACTCCAGTCGCTATGCCTTTATACCAAGGGTCAAACTTTTTCAGCAGGGGGCCGGTCCACTGTCCCTCAGACCTTGTGGGGAGCCGGACTATATTTTGAAAAAAATAAAAATAGATGAATTCCTATGCCCCACAAATAACCCAGAGATGCATTTTAAATAAAAGCACACATTCTACTCATGTACAAACACACTGATTCCCAGACCGTCCGTGGGCCGGATTTAGAAGGCAATTGGGCTGGATCCGGCCCCTAGTTTGCCTACCCATGCTCTATATCCACCTTGTCAGTTGGAAGCTGCCTTATATTGAGACAGACTATTGGTCCATCTAGCTCAATATAGTCTGCCCTGTCAGTGGCTCTCCAAGGTTCCAGACAGGGAACATTCCCAGTCCTACCGGGAATTGAACCTGGGGCTTTCTATATGCAAGCAGATGCTCTGCCCCAAAAGAAGCTTCTCTCATTACTGCATCTCCAGGATGAGAAGAAAAGACTTACTGGTAGATGCAAAAAACATTATCTTCCCAGAATGGTCTGCTTGTCAGCTTCTCACCCATTTGCCATGAGTTTTGTTGGACCTGCAAAAACCCACTTTTCACAAGCCATCAATCCAGGCAAGCCTTTTTTCTGAGGTAAAATAAGTTGTGGGGAAAGAAAAGCCCCCAAAATACAAATAATAATAATAATAATAATAATAATAATAATAATAATAAAAAATTAAAACACAGGGACAGGACACAGGTTTACAATCTAATAGATATGATACAAAAATGGAGGGAGAAAGAGAAGAGGAAAATTAGCAAATTCATATAACCACATAACTGTCATGACCAAGTGGAAAGGCCTATGACAGGAACAGTTCTGGAGGGGGAGAACCAAATGGCAGCTGATCCAGCAAGGCCAAGTAAGTGGGTCATGTTGTCTCGCCTGTTCCTGTAGTCACCTGTTCCTGTAATGCAGCTAGGTAGAATGCAAACTAACTTATTATCCTCTCAGCAAATTTTTGAGATAGCTCATTATCAATTCTCATTTTACAGAAGAGGAATGGAAGGGGGGAGAGAAAGAGAGAATTTCCCAAAGCAACTCTATGGCAGAAGTTAGTTTTTAACTCAGCTCTCAACCACACAGGATTTAAGGCAGCACTGCCACTATGGGTTCTTTTATTAGGAAGGGCGGGATATATATATATATATATATATGTATATATGTATGACGACACATCCCGCCTGCCAGACATCTGGAAATTAGCCCTCCCCACAAAAACCGACACCAGATCCAGAGGCACACAGAACGCCATCACCAATCAACCACACCAGACCCAAACCCAGACCCTCTCCACAGATAAATTACAGACACCATCCAGTAGCCAAACCATGGTGGCACCTCCGGATGCTGCACCCCCCTGCAATCCCTACACAGATCTGGCTGGCACAGGACACAAAACCACAGCTCGCCCCTATACACGAAGCCAAGCCAGAGCACAACTAAACACAGTACAGCCATCTTCTCAGAAAAACTCTTCACAAAGTTCAAGAAGTCAAGACACGAAGGCTTTAGCAACTAATCCACACCTAATGACCCACCTAAATGGTACTCAGGATATCACTCAAGAAATCACTCAAGATATCCCTCAAGTAATTAAGGAACAAAAGAAGAAAAGGCACACTAACCTGGGAACTTCCTCTCTGCCCAGAACATTGGAGGCTATACACCACACCCCCTCAACAGTATTTATAGGAACTCAAACACTGAGATCCTGCTCTGTTCCAGTAACAAGAAGCCGAAAGCACCAGCCTGAAGATGACGAGTGAGACCTCGTCGAAACGTCGCCTAGACACCCCAACTTTTACACGGGAAGACACCCGAGGACACCAAAACCTGCATTCCTGTACCCGTGAAAATCTACGAAAGCAAATATATATATATATATACACACACACATACACACACACACACACACATACACACACACACACACACACACACACACACACACACACACTGTACTACATCCATTCTCTGATAATGGCTTATTCAAAGGATACTGACTATTTTCCTACCATTCCTTTTGCCTCTGTGAAGGCTGCTCAAAATTTCCCACTGCTAGAGAAAGCCAAGCAATGGTATTTACTGGGCCAAATACTGAAAGTATTTAAAACTCAGGCTTCAAAGGCTTAAAATAAAATGTATTCCTTAGGGGAAAGTGCCGAAAACAGAATAAAATGGATCACAAACTTCTGCCATCCAAATGAAAAACAGACATATGCAAAAATGTTAGCCAACAGTTGAACAAATGGTGAGAAAGAGAAATGGATGCAACAATTATCTTTTGGCACCAGAAAATACAGAAAAACGAGAGGGAAGGAGAGAGAAGACACACATCTTCATTGTAGAGCTTCTCTTGTTTGTTGTTTGCCCTGACCTCTGACAGTTGTTTCTGTGGGACATACTTCTGTTTTGTTTGACCTATATGGCACTACTTTAGCTTGGAACTATTTTACTTGTTTTTATTATTGTATGATTTTTTTATGGTTGTTGTAAATTGGGAAGGATTCTAGGTCCATGGAGGAGCATCTGCTTTGCATGCAGAAGGTCCCAGGTTCAATCCCCAGTATCTCTAGATAGGGCTGGATGAGACCCCTGTCTGAAATATTGGAGAGCTGCTGCCACTCACTGTGTAGACAAGATTGATGGACCAATGATCTAACTCAGTAAAATACAGCTTCCCATGGCCTGAGACCTTATGGTGAAGTAAGGGTATGAAATTTTATAAAAATCGCAGAGGCTGTTGAATTATGTATTTTCCAAATCAAACATTTTAAAGCTAGGTCAAAGAAAGAAACTCCATAGTCTAGAAGAGAATGGAGTCACATTAGGAGAATCCATATTGTAGTGTAGTAAGTGATTTGGTGGAGGTGTTGAAGTCCCTGACAGCGATTAGATGGGCTGTCCTGATGTAACAGAGAAGAGAGGAGCAGAAGGGTATCTGGTGATCATTGGCAGAGCTTCTTAGAGGGGGAACATTGGCAGAAGCAAGGTCCAGGATTTAACACACTGTGCCCACTAGACAATACACATAAGCTTGCAGCCGGTTTGACAAAAGGGAAGATTCATGAAGACAGAAACTCTGAATTCATGCAGGATGAATAAATCAGCTGCATAGTATGCAGACTGAAACAGAAAGATTAAGTGTCTTGTCCTCCTTGATGCACAGTCTTCTTAGCACATATTTTAAGCACAATTAAGCATGATAATTTGTCAGGATAGAGTTGTTAATAATAACATGGTTTATCATGCTTCTACTTTTCTACCTTATTTGCCCTTGGAAAGCTTCCTGCTTTATCTCTTATTTCTTGCTAAGGCTCAAGGCTAACCTTGTCAAGCAACAAGGCAAAGCAATGTGCTTCAGACAACACCACAACAGACGCGGTGGTGGGGAACTGATGGAATCAGGAATTGGTAGAATGGTACTGTAAGACCTTTTTAAAAAACTGTTTGCCCTAGCGGGGGTGGAAAAGCATACCACTTGGGCTCCATTTCAGGCAGCAAATTGTTTGTGGCTGTCACTATTAAGGCCCTTGTGCAGAACATGACCAGATGTAGCTTCCTGACCTGCCCATTACATCTAGGAGTGACACAGTAGAACATGAACTCACTTAATAACTTTAGGATAATTTGGGTGGGAAATGAGTTTGCTTGCCTTACCCCCACTGATATTTGAATTCTACATTTACATCTAAACATGTTAATTTATAAGATGCAGATTTGTATCTATGGAACCATGTGCAAAATATTTGGTGTGACTTCTCAGCAACACAGGCCACAACTGGCTTAAACAGTACACCTGTGAGTTCACACATTTCTGTCTATACATATACAGTAATAAAAATGTAATAACGTCCTCATGCTACAGTTTGTTTGGCCGCAGACAGGTGGTGCTGCAAACTACAGTATGAAGAGATTGCAGCAGCCCCACAGGAGTTGCCCTTTTCTTCTTGCTCCTCTGCCTGCCACCCCTGCGGGCCCTGCCCCCTTGATCCAGATCCCCAGTATGGCTACTGCCCACTTATCCTTGGAGGAAGAATCAGATAAACTATTAATAATTTTTTAAATACAAGGCATCCATTGATTTCCAAAAATCACATGCCTTTCCCGAAGAAACAAAGATGATTTCTCACTTTGCATAAGAGAGACATTTATATTAGCCAAACTTCTAAATATAATATTGCATGTCTACTTTGTGATTCAAACAATATTTTCTTTCTTGGCTCAGGAATATATTTTCTTATTGATAGAGGAAAAGTATGCCAGTGCTTGATTGTGTGTTAGAATTATTCTGAAACAAGGGATAAAACAATTAATCCCTACCACAGAAACAATACATGCTCTATTTTTATATTTCAAAAATGCTCTGTCTTATAATTTAACTAGGCACTTCTTAATGGGGGTATGTGTGAGAATGTTTCTCTCATATTATCAGATTTGAAGAGCTTGCTGTAGGGGGGAAAAATCCTAGGTTTTGTTTTTCAGACTGGAGTACTGCATCCAATCTTCTTTAGTACAGATTCTATTTTTGAAATGAAAGGGGGAAAGGAATCCTGCTTCCATAAATGCCTGAGCTTTCACCACCCATAATTCATTCTTTTTCTGCCCAAATTTATGACTGTAGTGGGGCCTAGGAAATGTTCACTACTATCCCACCTGCCAAAAACAAAAAGCCAAAGGACCGGATCACAAGTGTGACTAGCAGGTCCCTGTGATCAAAGGCGGCTGCCCATAATTCAGAGAAGACGACAAGGTCGCTAATAAACAGCAGTGAACTGTGCCTGCTTTTGTAAGTTCTGTGTAAAATCAGGGACACCAAACAGTCATAATAGATGGGTTTAATTCTCACACTGAACATACCAGAGCAGCTGCAGGCAAACTCAAAAGCAGGGGACCAGATTAAAGCCAGATCTGCCCCGTTCACAGTATGAAGTGAGGGACATGCAGCTAGCTTAGAACAAAAAGAGTGCATAGATGAGAAAGCTCACTCCTCTCTATAGCTCTCATCACCCCCAAATGTTTTATTCTCTCTTGAGCCAGTATCAGAGCTCAGCTGAGGAGAACAGTTGTTGTTGTTTTTTTTTGGGGGGGGGGAGGACAGGGCCTTCTCTACTGTTAGGCAGCCATCTCAGGTGGTGTATGAGGGACTGCATCATGCTCCAGGTGATTCCCTCAGGGACTGGGGTCCCAGCATCAGAAGATACAAGCATTCACCAAAGAGGACAAATCCAAATTAAACAAGGTCAAGCAAAGAGAACCAGTCTGTCCAAACATCATCCAGAGACAATCTCAGGAAACAGAACATAAAGGTATCAGTACCTGTACTGTTTCCAGCAACTGGGAGACTCGGAAGGTAGGCCTTATATCCTCTGGCCTCTAAACCCACACATGCTAGCAGTGAAGGAGTATCAAGGATTGCTTACTCACAAATAGACTACTTACTCATACATAGGCCAATGACTCCTACAGTGACATCACTTTTCAGCCTGGATCTGAAGCCTGTGCTATCAAGGATTGCAGGGGTTGCTCTACTTCTTCCTCAGAAAGTCCCCGGGGTTCTTTATGAAGCCAAAGGCTCCCTGAAAGGGAGTATCAGCATTGGATTCAGTCTCTTCCCGCGCCCCCAATTTCTCAAAGTCATCAAATTGGGGGTGTCTGATTCATCTTCTGAGGGCTCCATGTCTGATACCAGGTCAGGCCTAGATTCCAGGGCAGAACAGGGTGGTAGCAGCAATGAGGGGACGTGTAGGCCACGTCACCAACACCTCCTAAGCTAACTTGCTGCCCTCAGGTACAGCAGGGAACGCTGTTGCAGTAAAATACAACTGCCAGCTGGTCTCCGCCCACCTTTTTGTGTGACTGAGGTGGACTTCCTGTCTTGCAATTGAACAAATAGGTCTCTCTCTCTCTCTCTCTCTCTCTCTCTCTCTCTCTCTCTCTCTCACACACACACACACACACACACACACAGCCCAAGATGAAACTAACCACACTTTTAATTGGCAGAGGTTTTGACTCAGTGACAACAATACAATAAGAACAAAAATTAGAAAGAATCTAGTCAAATAGTTAGCTGACTTAACCTGTTGGAATTAAATTATGATCCCTTTCACTGCATGCTCTGATACACATAAGGCCATACTAAGCCTTGGGTAACTGGGTATAATCCCACCTAAAATCAATGGAAATACATCTGATTAGCCCCAGTGCTACATTTAAGCCTATCATATCCCATTTCTCTTGTTAAACTATAATTGAACTGGATAGCTGGAGATATAAAATACATGTCAGAGGTAACTGGCAAGCCAAATTCTGGATGGGCTCTGCACCTAAAAGTCCACCAGAATACCAACAAAATAGAGCAATATATCGGAAAGAACAATATAGAGCAGTTTCATTCTAATTTGGCATCAACAACCTCACTTAATCTTGCTCTTCCCATGACACTAGGGCGAAATAACAAAAAAAAAATACAGATGAATGTGTATTTTTTATCCAAGGCTGAAGGCAGTTTGAAAGAGAGAAAGCAGTCAGAAGCTGATTGTTGTGTGTACCCTCATCTCACCCCACTTTTGTCTCCCGTAAACTGGTTTCATATTATTTCAAAGACCTGTACAAGCTGCTTGGCCAAACAATGCAAATGGGAGAAATTAAATCTGAGTAAATCTGGATGCTTCCCTCAACCTACTTTCAGCTGTCTTAAAATCTGAGGTCTCATCCACATTATACATTTAAAGCTTCCTACAAAATATATTGGGAACTATAGTTTTCCCTCCGCAGAGCTACAGTTCCAAGCAGCCTTAACAAACTACCATCCCCAGTATTCTTTGAGGGAAGCCATGTGCTTTAAATGAATGGTGTGGATATGTTCTAATAAAAAGAAACAAACCAAACTTGCTTTTGTGTATAGGAGGCATGTGACCAAGCCAAAAAAAACCAACCTCAGGCACCTCCTCATAGTTTGCTCTTGCTTTGCGCTCAAATGAACTTTGGATGAATTGGCACCTTCTCCAAACTATATACAGTGGTACCTCGGGTTACATAAGCTTCAGGTTACATACGCTTCAGGATACAGACTCTGCTAACCCAGAAATAGTACCTTGGGTTAAGAACTTTGCTTCAGGATGAGAACAGAAATCGTGCTCCGGCGGTGCGGCGGCAGGAGGAGGCCCCATTAGCTAAAGTGGTGCTTCAGGTTAAGAACAGTTTCAGGTTAAGAACGGACCTCCGGAACAAATTGTGTACTTAACCCGAGGTTCCACTGTACAGGTAGCTGCTCTATCAAGTTAGAATTTGGAGATTATTTTCATAGAGATGATGGAAAAAGCAGCAAGAGTAACTGAATTATGTGCTTCAATGCTGAGTTAATTTATCTGGCTACAAAGTTTAATTACTTTAAACCTGTGCATTCATAAATGAAAGCTTAATTGATTAATTAGTAAGGGCAAATTTGGGGACTGTTGTCATTCCAGGAAATGCAAAGAGGAAAATCCTGGCCTTTTTTACATTGAGCAGTAGCTTTTATTAAGCTGTCAACTCAATTGTATGCTGTCCACATTTGAATGAACTTCTGCACACCCAGCTTTACTTAGGACTGCGTTGTTTACACTTACCTTTGCTCTGCATTTCTAGGCACAGGTCCATACTTTAAAACTCCTTGCCTGAGCACTTTTTATTTTTTATTTTTTGCCCTGGCACTTCCCCCACACAAACCCACTCTTTACTGCTGAATCAGAGCAAACGAAAATCCACAGAAAACCCGAATTGCCATTTGTTTCGACTCAGTATTCAAGAGCAAGTTTTGCAGGGCAAAAAAGTGCTTGGACACAGACCAGGACGTAGACCTGTGCCTATCAAGCATAGGGCAAAAGGTAAGTGTGGATGAGTCCTGTTTTAAATTTCCTTCAATATCTCAAAAAAATACTGATATTGAAAATGTTGCACTAAAACACCTTTATTTAACTAGTTACACTTAACTAGTTACAAGCCAGGTGGCTAAGCAAATTATTTTGTCGACACTCAAACTTCAACAAGGGAGCAACTTGCATGTTTAAACCCTATTAATATCATCAGTAATAAAGTTTATTTGTATACTACTTTTTTGGTCAGAAGGCTCCCCAAGTAGTGAAAAGATACAAAATGCAATACAATAAATCAACTTGATTTATTCATTCTGAAATCCTTTTCTGCAGTTTTGTATATTCTATGTGCAGTCATCTTACAGCCTCATCCTATGCACACCTAGGGTTGACATATTTCAAAAAGTATAAACCAGGACACCCCAAAAGTTGTTGAGCTATTCTTAGGAAAACTCCAAAGCAATTTTTCGATTGACTACATTTACTCAAAGTAAATCACAAGTGTTCAATTGATTTAATACCCAACACATAAAAGTTTTTACAATGGTGGCACCCTGCTTAGAGAATGCTTTCCCAGGGACACTTAGATGGTGCTGACCTTGTCTTTTCAAATGCATTTATGCTGTTTCCAGTCATAGAAGATTGCAAGCATACACTGCAATACTATGTTAATTCAGAAGCAAGTCCTACTGCAGCTGAATGGGATATAGGGTGCAATCCTAACCATGTCTACTCTAAAGTCTCACTGAATTCAGTGGGACTTACAGAGAAGAGGAGCTTGGATTGCAGCCTAAAATCCATATTCTATGCATATTTACTTGAGAGTAAGCCCACTAAGTTAAATGGGCCTTACTCCAAAGTAAGTGAGCATACAGTTACAGCCTTAGGCTGCATTAAGTGCCATTTAACTTAGCAAGCATAGAATTCCACAGTATGTCACATGAAAAGCTAAAAGATCGATCTCTTCCTTTAAAAATATACTATTTGTACGCTTGTTATATAAATTCTGTTTTTTATTCCACCTTCGACTTTGAAGCCAACAGGCAAAGTAAATAAGGACATTTGTGCTCACATCTCTCCATGTCTTTCCTCCTCCATCTGTGAGACACTGTGCAAGCTGATATGTTCACAGCTGGGTGGAAATGAGGTTCATGGAGTGCAGGGTGATTTATTATTGAAACATGCAGAAATTAGCACATGAAACAATGCCTGATGTCTAGTAGAGAACTGTATGTGCACACCATTAGTCTCTTTCTCTCTCTTTCTCTGATTATACTCTTTTAGCAGTCCCATCACCCATATATCTGGAGGTTTTCAAAAACAATGTTGCCTGCCTTTAAGAGTTATCAGCGTTTTTTCTGTCCTATCTTCTGTGTTTTCAAAAGCAGCCTGACACTTAGAAATTAAACAAGTGAAACTCATTGCAATCATATTATTTATTTCCATGCCAGGAAAAGTTTCACCTGCTAAATTTCTGCATCAACCTGCTCAGCAAAAGGCAATTCAATGCCTGCTGGAAAAAAACTTCTTAAAAAGTTTTGCAAAAATCACCTATAAAATGGGAGAGAACCCGGCAAGCCTCAGCCACTCAAAGTAGACAATACTGGGCTAAATAGACAAATAGTCCAGCTGTAACTGGCAGTCTCCTATGTACCGTTAGGACTAATTTGGCTGCCTTGCTTCTTTGATCCCTGCCTTCAACATACTCTGCAAAAGGAAGAGGCTACTAATTGTCTGGTTAACATCTTTTACTCGAAACAAGCTGACTGTGCCTTATGGGAAGTGTGATTTCCTTTGTCTTGCCTGCTTGCTTTTGAAACTTCATTTCTGCTTAGTTCCGCCTGCATCTTACTCTTGATCTTCCCTTAGCCTGCCTGTCTGCTCTTGATGCTGTTTTCACCTATCCTCCATTCCAGACTTGATCCTGTGACAAATAAGAGGTGTTTTTTGGTGGGGTCGGGGGTGATAGTCAGTGGTAAAGCAGCACAGGAAATTAAATAAATAAACCATCCTCCTTTGATGCTGTTGTCCCAGTCTAAATTGATGGTTCCTGTGACAGTTTTTGTTTCTGTTTTGGTAAAGAAAAATATGGGGGGGGGGGTCCCAAGCATTGGATTCAAACAAGCCATTCAACTTTAATGTAATATATTGATTTGGGGCAATAGTTTCATTCACAGGTATATGGGATCTGCTTCCCAGAGTATTCCATACTATTCTGATGTGCAAACATTCCAGACCACATGGTCAGGGCTGATGGTACAAGTCTTTCCTACCTGACTGTTACCTTGCCAAGGACAGGAGACCCTGTCCTGCTCACATGCTGTAGTACAGCATTCACACAGTATTCACATAATGTGATTGTGTGGGACATCGCCACAGAAAAATGCTGCCCATTCAGCTCAGGGTGGCTTCTTGGGATGTTATATGTATTATACAGAGCAGGTGGACAGGAAGATTCAGCCTGTGCCACTGAATACAAAGGAAGATGCAAAAG